ATTTATATATATTTTATTTATCAAATATATATATATATATATATATATTTTTAGAAAAAATAACTTATCTTACTCGCCTTTGACTTCTCATTCTATAAATAATTCTATTAATATTTATTTTTAGGATAATTTTAAATAAAAAGATATAAATAACTCTTCTAATTTTGTAGGATTACCAAGTAAAATAAATAATAATTTTGTTTTGTATTAACATAAAAATAAGAAATTAATAAATAAGAAAATGATAGTAATAATTAGTCTACTAATTTTAAAGAATTACCTCTTGATTTAAGTACAAAAATAATTAAGAGTAATTTAAGGGATTGGGGAAAAACTTCTATTACTTAACCTTTGTCAAGTAAAAAATATTTGTAAAAAAAAATTTATTATTTAAAAAAGATAATAAGAAAAAAATACTTATAAACTGAAAATGAATATTAGAAGTAACAAAAAAATAATAATACAAATATAAAAATAATTTTTATATAATAATATAATTATTTTTTAAAAAAAAAATAGATTTTATAGATTATAATAGTTTATATATTTAAAATAAAATAATTTTTTACATCATATAAATTGATTTAAAAAAGTTAAATATTATAATTAAGTTTTAAAAAATAAAAAAAATTAAAAAAATTAAAAAAAAATAAGAAGATTTTATTTTTATAAAAATAAAATATATAAAAATATATTATAAAAAATAATGAAAAATTATAAATATATAATATAATAAAATAAAATATAAATTATTATGAATAAAAAATAAAAAATATATATATATTATTAATTTAAGTATTAATAAATAAAAAGATAAAAATAATAATAAAAAAATTTAAAATATATAAATACATAATATATATATATATATATATTTGTTATATATTAATTATAAAAACAATTATATAATGTCTATTAATTTTATTATCATATTTTTTTTATAATTTTTTATAATTGTTAATATATTCAAAAAATATAATATTTTTTTTATAATTTTTAGATTTTTTTATTATTATTATATTATATTGTATATTATATTTTCATTAAATATATAACATACTTCCTAATATAATATATTGCTAATTTTTTTTTCTTCTTATTTTTTTTTATTTTAATATAAAAGTATTTAATAATACAAAATAACATTAAAAATAGATATTTATAATTTATTAAATTATAATTATGATAAAAAAAAATTATTATATTTTTTATATTTTGTACGAAATTAATTAAATATATAATATTTATAATTTTAAAATTAATATTAATAAAATAATAATAATTTAATTTTTTAAAATATTATTTAAAAATAAATAAATATAAATATATATATATATTTAATTATATTAAATTTCTTATAAATTATTTTATTTTTTTTTCTCTCATTTTTTTAAAGCTTAAACTAAAAAACTACATATAATCGTGTTTTAAAAAAAAGTAACATTAAAATTAAAAACCCAAAATTAAATAGTATTGTATAAATATTTATAAATTTAAATAATTTAATTTATTTTTTTATTAAAAATTTAAACTTTAAAAATTAAAAATCAGAAAAATACTCCCGCATAATTAATATTAAAAGTTTATTTTAATTTTTATATAAAGTAACAATTTTTACATTTTAATAAAAATATTATAATATATAGACAAGAAAAAAAAAAAGAACTTTTATTTAATTGATTTTTAAAAAATATTAAAAATTAATAACTATTTTATAAAAAAAATAATATATATTAAATTTAATTTAAATATAATTAAAAAATTTACAAAAAAAAATATTAATAAAACAAAAAAGTTCAATAATAAAGCAATTTAGAATAAAAATTTAATTATTTATAGCACAAATATATATAATTTAATTAAAATTTACATTTAAATTGAATAATATTTTTAGCAAATCTATAGATTATTTTAAAAAGACAAATATACACTATATTAAATTATTTAGAAATAACACAAAGTATTTGTAAATAGTAAAAAGTAAAAATAAAAACTATATATTATATAAATTCGAAATAAAAATAAGTTAATTTAAAATATATATTTTAAAATATAAAAAACAGAAATTTGTATATTATTTATTTTTTTTGAAATTATTATTCTATTTTATATAATATATATATAGATATTGTTATTAAATATATAAAATTTTTTTGTATTATATTATCTATATTTTTAAATATATTTTTTCTTAACTTTTTTAGAAATCAGTATAAGATATTTTTTTAGATAGAAATAAAATTATTTTTTAAAAGTAGTTTCTATTATTAATATATTTATATATTAATTTATATTTATAAAGTTATTAATTAAATTTGTTTTTATTCTTTATATTATTTAGATAAATTATTATAATAAAGTTAAATTATATATAATTAAAGAAATATATATTTTTAAAAACAATTTCATAATAAATTAAAAATAAATATAAAGTATATTTTATAAAATTATTTTTATTTTATTATTATAATATCTTTTATTTGTTTAATTCAAATTAAAATATAAAATAAAAAAAATTTAAGCTCATAAAAAATGTCAGACAAAAAAAATTAAAAAAGTAATTATAAAGTTACAAAAAATAAAAATAATTTTAAAAAAAGCTTTAAATTAGTTTTTCAAAACAAAAAAATAACATGAATAAAAACTGACTAAAAAAGCAAACGAAAAAGAATAAACTTAAAATGAGAAATAATAAGACAAAATTAATAAAAACGTAATACAAGAAGAATAAGAATATCAGAACCTAGAAAAAATAAAAAATATAATTTCAGATGATTAAAATTTTGTTTCATTTGAAGATTTTGTAGATGGTTTATGTAGTTGGAAACCTTTATTAGAAAAATACACAAAAACCGAAAAATTCAAAAACATTTATAAATTTGTCAAATAATAATATTAAACAAAAACAGTATATAAATAAATTAAAAAAAAAATAAAAATATAAATATAAATATAAACATATAAAAAAAATAGTGTTATCCTCCTATAGATGAAGTTTTTAATGCATTTAGATAAACTCCAATCAATAATTTAAAAGTTATTATAGTTGGATAAGATCCTTATCACTAACCCGGATAAGCAATGGGTTTATGTTTCTCTGTCAAAAAAGGTGTAAAGCCACCTCCTTCATTAATGAATATGTACAAATCTTTAGAAAATGATAAAAAATTAAAGTTTAAAAAACCATAACATGGAGATTTAACAAAATGGGCTAACTAAGGTATTTATTTTTAAATTTATAATTTTAAAATTTTATATAAAAGGCGTTTTTACTTACTTAATAATGTTTTAACAGTTGAATATAATAAACCTGAATCTCACAAAAATTCAGGATGGACTGATTTTACTACTGAAGTTATAAAAATTATTAATACAGAATGCTCTGATATTATTTTTTTACTTTGGGGTATGCCAGCATAGAAAAAAGCTTCATTTGTTGACAAAAATAAGTTATTTTTTAAATATTATTTATGTTATTTATTGATAAAAAAAAGACATAATGTACTTTTAACTAGTCATCCTTCTCCTTTAAGTGCTAGTAGAGGATTTTTAGAAGCATGTATATATAAATATATATATATATATATATATATATATATATATATATATATATATATATATTTATCTTCTTTTGTTATAAATTTATTTATTTTAGAACATTTTTCTAAATGTAATGAAATTCTGTAAAATTTAGGTAAATAATAAATTGATTGGTAAAATTGAAAAAGAAAAATGAAATTAATAATAAGTTTCAAAAGAAATAAATATATGTTTTTTAATTTTATATTTATATATTAATTTTATTAAATATTATTTAACTATATGTTTTATAATATTATTAAATATAGTTATATTTAAAAAATGATTTTATAAAAATATATATAATTATTATTTATTAATTATATTTTAATAAATATTAAATTTTTATTAGTATATATATTTACAATTATAAAATATTTATTTATCTCTTTTTTCAAATTTCTTTTATTACTACAAAACCATTTTATTACTAAAATAAATTTGCTTTTAATCTTATTATTCTTGATATCTTACTTATTTTTTATTGTATTAAGAATATTTTATTATTAAATTTTTTATAACAATATTTTGTAATATTTTTTCACTAATACTATTTTTATTTTTTATGTTTAATAAATATAATTAAATAGTTTTATTATAGGTTATTATTGTATTCGCAAATATTAATAAATATAAATTACTTCTATATAACATTTTATAAAGAATAATCATAATTCCAAAATTTAATTTTATTTTATTATGTATATATTTTATATTATTTTAATTAACAGCTTTATGTATAATTTCACAATTTCAGAATTTCTGAATATAATTTGCTCCTATGATTCATTTGATTTTCTTTATGTATTAAGACTATTATTTATATGATAATTTTCTACATATATCTTACAAATAAAGAAAGTATTAAAATTTTGTATTTATTATATAATAATAATATTTAAATTTGATTCTTTTTTTTCTTTAATAAATAAATTAAATTTTAATCTATTAAATGTTAAATTTATTTAGAAAGGTTTATTATAACTATTATTACATTAATAAATTATATATATAATCATTTTAAAAAATGATAATATTATGTATTTTTTATAAAATTTAATATAATATTTATCATATATTAGTATTTATAATTTTTTTTTTTAATTTATAAAATAAATATATTTATATATATATATTTATATATATATATTTATATATATATATATATATATATATATTTTAATGTGTATTTAAATCATGTAAGTATATTAATGGTCAATAATTATACTAGAATAAATTGAATTGTTTTTTGTTATCTTTTAAATAATTTATTATATTATTTATTTTAGGTGTTATATAACACTATTTGTTTTATTCTTTTTTTCTTGTTTTTCTTCTTTTTTTTGGTGCTATATATGTGTTATTTGCTAAATTAGAAGTATTTTAGTTTATATTTTTATGTATATATATATATATATATATATATTTATTTATATTTTATAGATATTTTTTATTAATATAAATTTTTATATGTTTATAAAATCTTAATTTATAATATAAAAAATGATTACTTATTTTTATTATATGAAATATGTTTTAACTAAGTTTATACTTTAAAATTATACAAACTAAAATAAATTAAAAATAAAAAAGATATATAATATGCTAAATAATAATAAAATTAAAAAAATTAAAAAAAAAAAAAATGTAACATAAATTATTAATATAAGGTTATATTAAATTAAAAAGATAAAGATTTTGGGTTTTAAGATATGTAAAATTATACTAAGATCAACTCTAATATTTCGAGGACTAAAACGAAAACAATCTTCGTGGAAAATATAATATTTAAGATTTAGAAATAAAGCAAGAATCAACAAATTCTTAAACAATAATAATTTTATAAATAAAAAATACTAATGAATTTATAAATTTATAAATCGAAAATGATTCTTAATGGATATAAAAATTTTAAGAAGTCAAAATATAGGTTAAAAATTAACAGAATATTTCCCTATAGAAAAGTTTAAATACTCCAAGACTCAATTAAAATCAGGTTTTATGTACTAATAGTATCAGAACGGAATTTAAGGTTGTTGAGTTTACCAAAATAGATATTTTAAGGGAATTATAAGGGTTTTTTTTAATAGATTAAGCCTTTTTTTTAGAAAAAGGGTACTAAAATATGGGGAAAATATACAAATTTTTAGGTAATTTTACCCAAAAGAAAAAATTTTTAGTCAATATAATTGAAGAAATGAACATTTATGAAGTCTACGAGAATTTATCAAAAAAAAAGATTGAAAAAATATGGAATTTTTTAAATGAGAAATTGATTTTTATATTAATTTTTATTTTTTTGGAAATTTTTTTACTATTTTTTTTAAAGTATTTTTTGCCTGGATTTTTGAGTATTTTCGCCTTGTATTTTGTACTTTTTTTTAAAGAAAAAAGAGAAGTTTATTATATCGAAAAAAAATTCAAATTTTATAAAATCGAAGGAATTTTTAAGACTAATATTAATGTTTTTTTGAAGTTTTTGAAAATAAAAGGAATTTCGCATAAATAAAATTATGAAAATAAAAAGGTTTGGGTCAATTTTCTGAATGAAGATAAGAAAATTGAGGCTGTTTTAGTATGTTAATTGATGTTTTTTTAAAAGAAATCTTTTTATTTTTGTTTTAATGTATAAGAAAATTACTTTTTTTATGTAAATTTAATAAAGGAATTCGAATATGAAATAAAAAAATAAATAAAATGTGATAAGACAGAACTTTATTAATATTTAATGAAAAATAAAGCCTTTATATTTAATAATATAGTAAACAATACTTTAAAATATGATAAAGGATAAGAAATATAAAATGAAATAGAATAAATAAATCCTATTATAAATGAAAAAAATAAATAATATATAGAAATGTTATAATAAAAAATAGATTAAATGCTAAAAATGTCTGAATTAATTTCCTAAAACGAATGGATTTTAGAAAAAAAGACAAAAATTTTTCTATATATAAGAAATTTGATTACAAAAATATTTATTGTAGAGGAGAAAGTTAAATTAAAGTAAATTCAGAAAAATTAAAAGAATTCTTATATAATAATGATAATTAAAAATATACCAATTCCCTATATGATACATCCGAAACATTATTAGATATTTAAGAAAACGTAAGAATTATATATACTATTTCTAAAAAATTTTTTATTGTTTAACCTCGAGATGTAGTTGGTTTACAAGGAATTATTTATAAAGGAAATAAAGTAAATATATATATATATATATAAATAAATTATATATTTGTTAGATAATTATATGCACTTTTAGTATAGATTTTGATAAAATACCATTAAAAAGCGAAGCTATTAGGTGTGATTTAATTATTGGCGGTTATATTTTAGAACCTATTTCTTAAAATGAAACTAATCTTATTTATATTATTTGCTCAGATCCTAAAGGGGATATCCCTTAAATTTTTAAAAATAAAGGTATAGTTGGTTAAGCTTATACTCCAAATCTTATTAGAAAATATTATGATAAATTAAATGAATGAAAATATTTATTATTTATATATTTTATTATTTTTATAATTAATTTCTTATTTAATTTCATAATTTTAAATTTTATTTTATATTATAAAACTTAATTCTTCATAAACACCCGTCTAGCTCAGTCGGTAGAGCGCTAGCCTTTTAAGCTAGTGGTCAAGGGTTCGAGCCCCTTGGTGGGTGTATTTTTTTTATATTATTATTATAAATACTTACTTTTTTAATTATAAGTTTTATTAATGACAGTGTTTTTTTTTTATATATAAATATAAAATTAAATAATCAATATAAATATTAATTTTGGTCAATGTTAAATTAATTTTTATTTATAAAAAAATTAATCCATTTTATTTTTTTTATAATTTTATAAATGTCATTTCTTTTTGTTTTTTATTTAAATATCATAAACACCCGTCTAGCTCAGTCGGTAGAGCGCTAGCCTTTTAAGCTAGTGGTCAAGGGTTCGAGCCCCTTGGTGGGTGTATTTTTTTTATTTTTTTTATAATAAAAATATATTTCATTTATATTGACTAATAAATATTTAAAAAGCTTTTTTTATATATTAATTATTATAATAATAAGAAAAAAAAGCTTTTAAATATAAAATATAATGACATATATTATGTTAATATTTTATTTAATAAAATATTTATATATATATATATATATATATATATATATATATAAAATTAAAAATAAAAATTAAAATTAAAATTAAAATTAAAATTAAAATTAAAATTTTGATCTATGGATTTTTTTATTTTTATAAAAAAAAAATTTAAAATTAAATAAAAACATTTATTTTTAAAATGATTAGTTAGTTAATAATATTTAAAATTAATAAAAAAAAAAATTTAACATTGATAGTGTGTTTTAATTTTTTATATAAAATTAAATTATTATTTATTTTAATATTTATTATATTTCAAAATAAATGATTTATATTTTAGTTAAAATATTATAAAAATAAATTACTCAATTATATTTAGTATTTCTTTTAACACAAAGTTATCAAAATAAAATTTATAGCTACATTATTTCATATAATTTATTTTATTTAGTTATCAATATGTTTATTATTTTGAAATATTATAAATATAAAAATACTATATAAAAATATTTATATATTTTATATCTTATTAAAATTATTCATAAATTAATACAAATATTAAATATAAAATTATTTAGAAATATTTTTATAATAATAAAAAAAAATAATTAATTTAAACAAATTTTATAATCATATAATATTAACTTAAAATAAAACTAAAATAAGATGGTAAAAAATCTATTTTTATTATTATAATAATAAGAATATTAAAAAATAAAAACAAATTAATAATTAAATATATAAATAAGATTATGAAGTTATTAAATAATAAATAATAGGAATTAAAAAAATCAAAAATATTAATAATAATATAAATTTAAATTATTTAAATTAAATATAAATATGCAAAATATAAAACATATTTTATTAAATTAATTTATAGTCAAAAATAAAATTATTTTAAACTTCAACTAATCTAATAAAATATAATTTAAAAATAATTATTAAAAAAAAATATAGAAACAATAATTATTTGTATAAAAATAAGTTTATTCTAATTTAAACTTTAATTATCTTGTATTTTTTAATAAAAAATTGTATATATTAAAATCTAATATATAAAATAAAAAAAATATAATTATATTGTTTTTTAAAAAAGTTTAAATTTAAATAATTAATATTATAAATAGAAATTTTAATTTTTTACAAATAAGTTATAATTTTTTATATATAAATATTAGAAT